AATTAATCCAAGTTCCAAGGTTAGCCACCAAATCCATCCTGCATGGCAGTTATAGTGGACCTTGGATTGTAGTGCAGCATAGCAGTTAGACAAAAAAGGGATATATATGATATTTAACAGAGAAAAGATAAAGGACTGGGTGACCATAGTAACTTTTTTTGTTTGTCTAAATACTCTTCATACCACATAGGGTTACAATGAAGTACCAAAGTGGTATCACAATGCAAGCATCTTGGTAAAATAATGATTTCAATAGGCCATCAAACAGAATGGCAAGGAAATAATCCGTGCAGTAGCATTTGATCTGCCTCAAACAAAAGATATCATTGTAAATAATTCTAAACATAAGCACAATTTAGCAAATAAGGTAGGAGACTGGTAGACTTATACTTTCAGATTCAATTTTTAGCTGTTCACCAGTCACTTGCTATTTTGACAAGTTACTTACCAACTTGTGCTGCCATTTCTCCGAAAATTTATCCCCTAAGATGAGGATAATTCTTGCAAATTGTGTCACAAGGATTTTGAAAGGAACCATGAGTTATTGTGTAATGCTCTTGAAATTCCTCAGATGTGGGGTCCTACACAAAGTAAAGTATTATTATACATCTCTCTAACAGTAGTCATCTGTTTGCATTATGATTTTTCTTCCCTACCTTTGACACTGTGATTTTTGGGCACTAACCTTTCTCAAAGTAAAGTGTCCAAAGCAAGCCTCCACTCCTGACCCAAGTAATTATTTTTTTCAAATCTTCATATCATCCGTATCTTTCTCTTCCTTAGAAGGTATCGTGAAAATTGGAAATTATAAAACATAATGAGCTGCTTTGGTTTTATGTGCTTTGGTTCAGTAAGAAATATGTGGGACAATTGGTTAATTTTAATCCACTCTTAAGTCAATAACTTTATTTCCAATAGTTATATATTTATTTTCCTTTATTACTTTTTAAATTTCCACTATATTTTACGGAGCAGTTCTTTTATAGATTTATATGTTATGAACAGAGAGAACAGGTCAGAAAATGAAGCAGCAAAAAAGACAAGCAAGTAATTATTGTTATGCAACCAAAAAGCTTTTATTGGAGTGACCCAAGAGTAGAAATTACTATTCTGGGATATGAGAAACACAGAACCAATGCTCATCATCTTTATATTTTCTGGTAAAACAGTTGAATATAAACTACAATAAATTTTATCACACTATTAAAATTTTTACCCTCTTACTGGCTTTGCTAATCAAGTTAGTCTTCCATTCAAGAATACACTATACATATTTGAATTTTTTAGTTAGTGTTGGCACTGATATTATGTCTTGAAAACAGAACTCTCAATCTTCTTATACAGTTCTTAAAATGACTTCTTTGAGTTTATGCACAAAGGAGAAGGATAATAAAATGTCGTGTCTTCATTGTATAACCTTAGTTATAAAATAGTAATTTTTTAAAGATTTTTTTAACTCTTAGAATTACATTATAATAAAATACTGACAGAAACTAGATTCCTCCTAGGTGAATATTCCTCTACCTTCTAAATATGGCAAGGGAAATGCTTTGTGGGATAAAGATAAAAATCACAGGATTTAGAGTGGTCTCTTAACATTTGCTAACCAAGTGACCCTGTCAGTCTCTTAAATCTCTTTTAAGTTCAGTTTCTTCATGTGTAAAATAGGAATAGTAACACCTGATCTAGCTACCACACAAGATTGTTATGAGGATTAAATGAGATAACTCCATTTGAAAGAATTTTGTAAACCACAAAAAGCTACTTAACAGTCCTTTTTAACAGAACTCCACATTATTTACAAATTATGGTCATAAAACCATTTAGTACTGTTTCTACCATGAAAGAAATGGAAATAGATGTGGAAACATATATTTAGGACCATGGTCACCAAATTATACCTATGATTAGATATACAGTGAGTAAAGGATATTTTTAAGAAAAGCACACTTCCTATACATTATCTTAAAATCTTTAGAAGTGAATTAGGAAGTATAAAAATAAAACTAACAATTCATTTAAATGGACTGGTCTAGTATACTGAAGATTAAATACATTTACTTGTTAGACATGAATTAAGAAATTGAGACACTAGTTTAAAAATGTATATAGAAAGTTCTTATGAAGAAAAAATACATGTAAGTGAAATTAGCCATTCATTTCTCCACTTCTGGAAATAATTCAGAAAGAGCTAGTAGTGACAGCAAAGAGCATACATATATAAGAGAACAGAGATAAACATGAACGTAATCTGCATTCTTGGTATTAATATAATGATGGAAATCAGTTAAACCTTTGTGGTTTCTAAAATGTCCAGAACAGAAATCCTCTTTGAATAGGCCAAAGGTTTAAATCTATTTACCATACTTTAAGGCCAAGTCCTCCAGTAGGTTATCATGACTCTGAAGAGTAACTTACCCTTAATGAGACCACCTCTTTCTCTTTCATTCTTTATTAGTTATAGAACATTTGTTATGTTTATAAAGCCAATCTATGTAAAGAAACAATTCTTAGATCCTTCCTTTCTGCCTGTTTTCTTTCTGACACATCTTTAAAGCTCTGATGAAGTAAAAACTGTTTATTACACTGTCCTAGAAATACAACCAACTCACTCAATTACCAGAAGACTTTAAAACCAATTAAGTAAGATCCAACAACTCCTTACCTTCTAATCCAATCCTCGAACTCACAAATTTAAAAAAGGGTTGGGGAAGGGGCACATTTAAACCATTAAGGAATTATTCCAAATAGAAATAATTTTAGTTAAAAATATGATTAAAATTTATCACTCAAGCATCTTAAGACTGAGGTTAAAAGATGAAGTCCCTATCTGAGCAACTATCTCTCTTCAGACTTCTACTTTCTCCTACCTCTGAAACCTAGGTTCACTTCAATATAGCATTGAACCAGGACTTCTGATAATAAAAAGCTTTTCTCAGGATCAGGAACCCCTTCTATAAAACTAAGAAATTCTAGCACCAGACTTATTTTCTGGCTATTTATGTGATAACCGATGGAATTAAACTTAATTCAGCCTTCATTTTCTCCCAGAAATCTTATTTTAATTCTATCCCGAAATGACATTTCCCATCATTTGAATTTCCTAGGCTCAATGGTACACCATGTCAAATTTCAATTCTCTGCAGTTGTTTCACTTATGTACACCTTAACTCCCAACCCACGCTCTAAATTTGTCAAAGACAAAATTCATGCCTTTCATTTTTCTCTTCCACAAACTGTGGTGTACCCTGGACAACAATGAGGCAATCCTAAAGAGGTATCATAAGTTAGGGAAACCCACCCTTCTCAACTTTGTATTACCAAATAATACTTCCAGGATGAATCAATAGGATGATACAGATGTCACAATGCAATCATCACAATGTCAACATGACCGCGAAGAAACCTATCCTGTCTAGTTAAGTTTCTTAGACTCTCACCTGTAGAATTGGAAGCTGTTCCAGGCACTATAATCATTACACTATTACACAGTGTCTACTTTTGTCCTGGACACTGAACAGGTATTTAATAACATTTAAAAATTTTAAACCTTAGTAAACTTCAGCAACTATATTGACAATTTCTATGTGGTGGCTTTTTACTTTCTCCTTGCCCCACAGTCTTTCAAAAATTACTAAAGCAATACAGAGAGATGTTCAGTTATTTCTATGGGGCATGTTAAGTACAACAATCAGCAGTGGCCCTACCACCATGATAATCTCAACCTGAGGCAGTACTCTAAGCTAAGCAAAAATATTAAAGGGTCCGTCTGCCTCTAAAACAGAAGTAACAATGATTATCAGTAAGTTATCATTCATTTCTACCAATATGACCACCTCAATGCCTGAGATTATGAAAATCTGGTAAAAATCTATAAAATATTTTCAGTGAGGTAGAGTACAAGAAACCTGCCATTTACCTTGAGTTCTGCAGTAATTAAACCTGTCAATTAAGGCAAAAGAAAGGAGATTAAGACCCTAACCACAAAGAAAGAATGAAAACTACATAGCATTCACAAGTTAGAAAAGTGAGGTTTGGGCATGGTGGCGAAATGGTATGAAAGATGAAGCGTGTCTTAATGCCTGAATATTTTATATCTATATTAATCTCTCGAAAGTAGACTAACAATAGAAACCACTTAAATAATAAACTGATAAAGAAAAATAACTGCCACAGAAAATACTTAAGTGCCATTATTGTTAAAATTAAAAGAAACCATAAGTCAGTATAGTTGAACTCTCATCTGAATTTGCCACCTTAAATTATTAACTTTGAGTTACCATAATTGAATACAAAACTCATGTAATAATGATATTCCTAAGTGTGGTAATGTCTGATTTTAAAATACCATATCCAGGAAAACAGAACATGAAATGTGATTAAATTCCTCAAAATTCTCATTACTCTACAAAAATTATTTTAAATTTTGCTTGTATGGCTACCACAAAATCAGAATACCTCATATTCACAAAATCTGAATTTAATTGCTAGTGCTACCAGTTGAAAGTAGGAGATTAGGGGAATAAAAGATATTTCCAACTAAATCAAATTATATATTTAAAATACTATGATAGAGGGATAAATAAAAGAATTAAGATATAGTTTAGGCAAGTAAGTCAAAGTAAAAAGACATATGGAAAACACAGAGTAAATGATGCATTTAAAATCTGTCCAGGGTGACTGAACAGAATTTATTAAAGGGAACCTGCAAACTATATACTCTATATCTTTATACTGTACACCAAAGAAGATCTATACACTGCAGGCTTTTTCCTATTGTTTTACATCGCCATGAAATACGAGTTTATAATAGTAGAACAAACAAAAAAACACAAAATAAATTTCTTAGAAGCATGCAAATGTAAAGGATATATTTAACTCCTACTTTGCTTTTAATGTTTGATAAAGAATATACACTTAGGACTAGAGAAATTATATGATACTTCAAACTTAAAATGATATAATTATTAGAAATAGCAAATAAAACATTTTCAACTTACCCGGTTTCTTTCTGGATTTTTCATGACCTAGCTGTCCTAGATCATTACATCCACATGTGTACACTGTTCCATCATCCAGAACAAATACAGTATGTCTGAGTCCACATCCTACATCTCGGACCTTTTTATGTATAAAAAAGTCACTTTTTCTGGGCTCTAGTACAATTTCTTCATCAATTCCACCCAAACCTAGCTGTCCAAAGGATGCATTTCCCCAGCACAACATGCTTATTATTTTGGTCTTCCAGTTTCAATAAAAAATTTTCTTCTGAAACACTGGAAAGTTGGAGGTACCCAAGTCTGAGGAAACAGAAAAAAGTTAGTATGACTTCAAAGGAAAAAGGATGTATAATTGCTCTTCCAAGTGCTAGGATACAATAACTGCTATATAGTAAATATTAAATATATTTTGTAATATGCTACATAAGTATCATTCTGTTTCAAAATCCAATCAGTTGTATTTTTTTAATGCATCACATAGAAATGTTTGGAAAAACACATCACTATGATTCTCTGCAAAATTTAAAACATTAATCATCTTTGACTTTTTGTTATCTTGTGGTAAACTAAGCTAATGGAAATACTAAGTATCTTGATGCAATTATAATCAGATTTTTTTTTTTTTACTTTTTGCTCTAAATAATTTCAATGGGAATAAGAAATAAGACACCTTTCCACTGCCAAAAAAATCAAGTATACACAGTGAAAAATCTAGCTAACTGCAGAAATATAACCTTGCAATCTCCCTCAAATCCTAGTATAATTAAACCTTCTAATACCTACCTCCACATCAACAGAAAACTGAAGTTCTTATCTGTAACAGAAATAAAACCAATAATGGAAATTTTTAGAAATATCCTACAATTTAAATTACTCTTCCAATATTCACAGTAATAGGCCAGAGAGAAAATTGGGATTCTCTTATCAAGCCATAATCTCAAAACATCACCTCCACTATATCCTCTGTAATATCCTTTGTATTATAATAAACCAGTAAACATTTAAAAAAAGAAAAACAGAAAAACAATTACCTCCAAAGATCCTATTTTACAAATCAAAACACTAATATTACAACCTCACTACTAATTTAATTTTTAAAGTTAAATCAATGTGCGTAATTATGATACAGAAAAAATATGCAGTTTAAATAGCAAGTCTCCCCCAAATTCAATATTTTCTATTACTAGTGGTAACTGTGACTAAAAAAAATCTCCCCTGGGCAATCTATATCTATCCATACCTCTGAGACAATCATTTGAAGATGAAAACAAAAATTTGCGAATAATCCCAGCACTGCTGATTTTTCAAGAATAGGAATGGGGGCTGGGACACCAGTAGTTCGATGGCGAAATCTGTAGAACTTTCCAGTACACTGACTGACTATTTCTTCGCTTGTTAAAAAAGACACAAATAACAATCAGAGTCCACCTCATCTAAACCGACATAGATTTTTAAACACATCGCGTTACTAAATAACTATTACAGGAAGTCAGCCGTATTCTTGTAGTAGTCACACTCCTTACATAGAACCTGCGAAGTTTCAAAACCCAATTTTCCTACGTTCCGGCTAGTAAGTGTCCAAAGTGTCCGATTCCAAAACCCATCCATTAACAGATTTCATTTCATTCTTTTGGGGCATCAGAACTCGATAGCTCCCGAGAGTTCTGCATTGTCTCCCACATACATACATACACACACACACACACACACACACATACGCACGCACATACATATATATTTTTTTAATCAGAGGAGGATAGGAAAACACCCAATATTTCCACGCTCGAGGTTTAACCATCCTTTTCTTTAAAAAGTCAGAAAGCGTCCTCTCGCCAGCAACAGGTAGGGGAATGAGAAGCAGCTTAGTCCCGTCTTTCCCTGAACATGCACCCAGATCAGCTCACTGGGACCGGGGAAGAGAAATCATCTGCACACACCCAACCTCGCGGCCAAGCAGACAACTACGGCAGCCGCCCGCTGGCAGCAGCCGCAGAGGCCGGCGGACGAGGCTTGGCACCCCACGGCCTCAACCCGAGGGAGGCTCTTCCCCAGGGAGGTGCGACATTCCAGCCCCCAGACCAGTGAGCCCGGACCCTAGCCTCGCACCCCGCCCTTCACCCCCAGGAAGCGCTGAGAAAGCGCCCTGCGCCAGGCTGGCCTGTATCCGCCCAACCAAGCCTGCCCCGCTCCCTAACGCCATCGCACGCCCCCGAACGCACCGGGGGCAACGACTCACCCGGCCCCTCAGGGCAGGGGAAGCCCAAGGCGACAGGGGGCGGCCCCTCCCCAGAGAGCGAGGCAGCTGGCTGCTGAGGCAGGTCTTCGACTCCTGGGACCCTCCTCCTTCAGCTAGTGGCGGCGATCACCAGGGCTTCTCCGGCTTCTGTGCGGCTGCTCCGCTGCTCCCCTCCCGGCCCCTGTGAAACTTTACCGGGTTCCTCAAGGGAAAGCAGCCGCCACTGCTGTCCAGTGCAGAGACAGCCGTCAGCGACCCGCATGAAGCGGGAGAAGGGCAGGAGGCGAGCGGGGCGGAGAACGCGAGGGGTGGGAAGAGTTGGGGAAGAGACTGGGGAGAAGGGAGAGGGGGAGGTGGCTACGTGAGGGAGGGGGAGGGGGTAGCCGGAAATGAACCGCAGAGCACGCGCGCGAGCCCGCCCACTTCCCGGCCCGCGCGCCTGCGCCAGAATGCTCCCTGGGCGCATTGACCCTGGCGCTTGCGCAGTGTGCTGTTTTGCGTTGCTTTAAGAGGGAAACGCCAACTACAGAAGTTGGAGTTTGCGAAGACAAACGAAGATGGTGTTAACGTGCTTTTAACAACGCCTTGGCGTGCACAAGGCCCTTTAATGAAGAAAAAAATTTTTTTATTGGTTGTCTTTCTGTTCATGGGTTTAGTCTTTTTAATATTTTACTCTCGGGCCAGGCGCGGTGGCTCACACCAGTAATCCTAGCACTCTGGGAGGCCGAGGCGGGCAGATTGTTTGAGCTCAGGAGTTCGAGACCAGCCTGAGCAAGAGCGAGACCCGTCTCTACTAAAAATAGAAAGAAATCAATCAGACAGCTAAAAATATATAGAAAAAAATTAGCCGGGCATGGTGGCGCATGCCTGTAGTCCCAGCTACTTGGGAGGCTGAGGCAGAAGGATTGCTTGAGCTCAGGAGTTTGAGGTTGCTGTGAGCTAGGCTGACGCCACGGCACTCACTCTAGCTCAGGAAAAAGAGTGAGACTCTGTCTCAAAAAAAAAAAATCTTCTCCTAAGATTTCGAAGTAGCAGGTGAAATTCACAAATGTGGATATAAAAGCAGGTGAATACTTTTATTTTACCGCTTAGCTTCAACTGGAGCTAATCTGAGGGTGTGAGATATATTGATTGCAATGGCTGAAGCTACTTGCATTAAATGTCAAACCCATTTCAGGTTCCTGATAAAGTATTGGCTCTCATCACTTTCTGCACTCCCCTGGAAGATAAGCTTAAATTGCAGCACCTCATTCGATCAGAGAAAATTAAGTAATGCATATGGCTGCAGTCTCTGCTTCGTAAAAACAAAGTCTATTTCCTAGGCCAGTGTTAACATAATCTCTTACTATGCAGGAGAACGTGAAATAACGCATTTTGGAAATTTTAGACAGTGCTAGAACCTGTGACTTTGGGGTGAATGTTGAGAACCTAGAAGGAATTTCACAATAGGCCACGTTTCATTATCTCCAACTGAAAAATATATTTCAGATTAAGAAGTATCTGTGCTAGAATATGTTTAAGTGTGTGTATTACAACTATAAGAAATTATGACAAATTGGGTGGCTTAAAACAACAGAAATTTATTGTCTTACAGTTCTGAAGGCCAAAATTCCGAAATTGAGGTGGCAGCAGACTCGATTCCCTCTTGGGGGTCTCGGAGAGAGAATCTTTTCCAAACCTCTCCTAGGTTCTAGAGGTTGCCAGCAATGGTTGGCACTCCTTGTAGGAGCATCACTCCAATTTCCGCCTCCACCTTCACCTGGTGTTTTCCCTGTGTGGCTGTCTCCAAATTTTCCTGTTATAAGGACACCAATTATTAGATTAAGACCCACCCTAATCCATTATGACCCTATCTTAACATGATTACATCCGCAAAGAATTTATTTCCAGATAAGGTCACAGTCAGGGGTACTGGGGGTTAGGACTTTAACATACCTTTTTGGGAGACCAAATTCAACCTGCAATAGTATGTTACAGAAATAAGTGTAAAAATGACAAGATGTTTAAGCAAAGAAAGCATAATTTCAACATTATAAGTGGTAGAATGCCTACAAACATACTTCATTCTTATTTTGACAGCTTCATTGCTCTGGTAGGGCTTTTGCTTGTTGTCTTTTAACCTTAAAGACTTGTTGCCTCAGAATATATCATTAAAAGGGAAGTTATGAAATACAGGATCTTTAAGATATGCACATGCTGCTACAACAAATAAACATTAAAATTTGAGTGGCTTAAAATAATAAAAGTATATTTTTTACCTTTTTAACAGACTAAGTGATTATTCCTAATGAGTGGAAACTGAGTTCTAGGGCCTTGAGGATAAGGGAGGCAAGGGGAGTTTCTTAAAACCCTTATCTGTGAACTGCCATGTGTCACTACATTAACAAGGTAACATTAGCAAGAACCACACACCTAGAAACAAGGATGCTGGAAACATAGTCTCTGAGTTCCCAAGTACTATTAATACTTTCTACTATGGAAGGGTGAGCATGAATTGGTGGACAGCCGTCTCTGCCACATGTATACATCTCTATCTGGAATGTTTTTAAAGATAGGTCTTGTTTATAGAAAGTGGAATGGACATTTCTGGATGTTCCTTTTAACTTCCTAAGTTTGTGAAACTTTGGTGTAAGATCTTAGAAAATAGGCTGTGGTTATCTCTAAGGTGAAACAAGTATAGGATCACAAGGTTATTAGCATAATATAAATGTGCTATATAAAAGCAGCATGAGATTGCTGAGAATGGCCTCTGGTGCTGGTTTATCTGGGTTCAGAGTCTAAGCCTACAGCTCACCTCAGACTTCTGTCCTTCTATCCCCCGGAACACACAGACATTTACTAATGGTCTGTTTTGCAGAATATTATATCTCAGCCATAATATTTATAATTATGCTAATCATCCATATATCACTGGATTGTTGCAAGGACTTAGTAAAGTAAAAAAAAAAAATGCAGTACCTTGTTCATGGCAAGAGTTTTTTAAGTGTTAACTTTTACTATTATTAGTATTATTTCTCCTGAACTACTAGTAAGAGAACATTTGGAAAAGCAGTCCTTATCACCAGAAATAAAATAGTTTTAATTTAGAACAAAAGTAAAGTATTTTTTACCTGTTTTTATTTAAGAAAATAATGCTCAGACTGTTGAGAGACAACTAAAAGAAGTATTCATTTTTGTCCCACTCTTCTCCTTGCTCCCTTCCATCCAGCTATACTGCTCCTGCTGGATCTCACCTCATTTCCGCCATTTGGGTCTCTACTCATGTCACTTCTCCAGTCTTCCCTGACCACCCTATCCAAAAAGCCATCCCCTAACTCCGTATCAACTTATCCTGCTTTATTTTTCTTCATATCTATTATTACAACCTGACATTTTATTATATAATATATAAATATATAATGTTTATTATATAATATATAAAAATAAGAAAATCGATATGCAATTAAATACAATCTATTTATACGTTACATAAATAGATACATAACTTTGTCTCCTCCATTAGAACGAAAATTCCATAAAGGAAGGGATTTTGCCTTTTTTGTTCTGCGTTCTCTCCCCCAGTATCTTCAACAGTTCCCAACCCATAGCTTGTGCTCAGAACATACTTATTGAATTAATTAATTAATGGTGCTGACAGGATTGTAAATTATCTTAACTTTTTTTTTTTTTTTTGAGACAGAGTCTCGCTTTGTTGCCCGGGCTAGAGTGAGTGCCGTGGCGTCAGCCTAGCTCGCAGCAACCTCAAACTCCTGGGTTCAAACGATCCTTCTGCCTCAGCCTCTCAAGTAGCTGGGACTACAAGCATGTGCCACCATGCCCGTCTAATTTTTTCTGTATATATATTTTTAGTTGTCCAGATCATTTCTTTCTATTTTTTAGTAGAGACGGGTTCTCGCTCTTGCTCAGGCTGATCTCGAACTCCTGACCTTGAGTGATCCACCCGCCTCAGCCTCCCAGAGTGCTTATCTTAACTTTTTTTTTTGCCACTCTGTCTCCTGGACTAGAGTGCTATGGCATGATCATAGCTCACTGCCGCCTCAAACTGTTGGACTCAAGCAATCCTCCTGCCTCAGCCTCCCGAGTTGCTGGGGCTACAGGCATGCGCCACCACATCTGGCTAATTTTTCTATTTTTTGTAGAGATGAGGTCTTGCTCTTGCTCAGGCTGGTCTCAAACAACTGACTTCAAGCAATCCTCCTACCTCAACCTCCCAAAGTGCCAGGATTACAGCTGTGAGCCACTATGCCCAGCCTATCATGACATTTTGATAAATTTGTTGATGTATTTTGAGCCAGTAAATTTTACTTAATAATAGTTCATAATAATAGCAATATTTATTGTGAGACATTGCACTAAACTATTTATACGTATTATATTACTTCTGGATTCTGTCCTAAGGAAATATAAGATACATTCAGCAAATCTTTATTGGGCACCTACTATGTGACACCCTCCCAATTCTAGGATATACAAAAACAAGAAGGCAGGCAAATAAAAGTATGAACAAGATTTTTATTGTAGTGTTATTTCCAAAGCAAAAATTAAAAGCAACCTAAGTTCCAACAATGAGGAAATGGGTATTGATATGTGGCTGGTAAAATTATGAATTGGAAGACTGTAAAATGTCCATGACACAATAGTAAAGTTTTTTTTTTTTAAAGCAGGATACAAAATTGTATGTGTCCTACTTGTAGCCATGTTAAAAAAGGATGGAAAAGAAATATACCAAAATACTAGAAATTGTTGTGTTAGAGTATTAGAATTTGAAGCAATTTTTTTCCCTTCTCTATTTTCCAAATTTCTATAAATAGTATTAATCTTATGGTTTTAAAAGTTGCAGATAAGAAAAATCTTAATTGCTTCCAAAACAGAAAACATTGAAAGTATAGAGGTGCATAATTACAACCTTAATCTAAAATTAAATACAGAACTCTAATCAAGTCTTCCTTTTTTTTCCAAGCTATGTATGTTTATATATTGTTTAAGTCAAGGTAGTAATTCTTCTACGAAATTTTTAAAATATTGAGTGCCAGGAGGATCTCATTTTATGAGTTATATACTGAATTATTTGGCTCTTTTAAGTGAATTAGAAGTTTCTATTTTGGTAAACATTGTTTTTGGAGATGGCAAACATTTTAGGGCTATGTATCTTGGAATGCCAATTTGAGTTCATTTGTGTCACTGAAAAGATTATCCCCCAATTTTCTTCTGATG